CCCCAGCACTTGGAGCATGGTTCTGTGATAAGTAGACCCCAAAAGCTCTCTGTCTAACTAGTCTGGCTGAATCAGCTAACTCCAGGTTCAATGAGAGATGAATTCCTGCATCAAAGAATAAGATGGAGAATAATTAACAAAGATCTTTGACTTCTACACACACACACACACACACACACACGCAAACACAAATGTGCATATACGGTATATGTATACAAACACATGTACACATATATACAGCTAAATAAATAAAAATAGTTGCAATCTATGAGCCGTCACTGGATTGCAATTGTAAAAAGCGAACTGGAAAAGCACTTGTTGCTCAACCTGAAAAATTTGAATATGTCTTCGGTTTTAGGGGATCTCGGGTGGTTTTTTATTGTCTTAATATTCCTGGGTGTGATAAGGTACTAAATCAGTATCAGAAATTATTTTTAGTTGAAAAAATATACTGACAGATTATTGCTAAATATTATGGGATCTAACCCAGTTTCTATCATGTAGCAATAAATTTATACAGAGACCTAAGCATCTACATAATACTTGCAAATAAAAAAAGGATTGACATATCTTTTCTCTGTATTATAGGTATATGAATGTCCACTATTTTGTGACTTCACGTGCAAGTTTGAAGTTTTTCATAGAAAACTAAAATATTGGAAAGAAAACGAAGTAAAACACTGTGTGGAGTGTGGGCAGTGCGTCATTAAAACTCAAACCTGTGTTCAATTCCCATGCTAATCCAGAAGTCTAGTGAGGTGAACATGGTTTCAGTTTGCTGACTTTCCCCTCTTCTGAGTCTGAATGGTGCTTCTGACCTTCTGCCACCTTCATTGCGCCAAGAAGCACCCATTGATTTAGAGAAAGATCAATACTCACTCTCTACTTGGCTTGTTGCCCACCTAGAGAAAACATTCCTTATTGGACAGTCACTTCTCAATTGTAGAGACAAGCACCTATAATAAATATATTGGTTGAACTTGGCGTGTTGTTATTTTTCCTATACTCCTACATCTTCTGTCTTAAGAAGTGAATGAATTTCTCTTTTTTTCCCTAAGGTGATTTTCATCCTTGTCCTATCCTTTCTTTTATCTCTTCTTAATGTCTCTGAGATCTTGCTCAGATCTCTGGGCTTTAGTTTTGTTTTAGCTTTTTGTTGACTTTCAGCCTTCAAATTAGTACACATACTATCTGTCGAAGATGTACACACACACACACACACACACACACACACACACACCTGCCACCACCAAATAAAAACCGATTTCTTGTTCTACCACCCACTCAGTTGGCCAATATGCGCTAAACTACCCGTCTCCTGAGAGCTAGATTTCTGCTAACTACAGGCTCCATAAGCCAGAACCATTTCCCTGGCATTCATTCATTATTCCCATTCCTTTTGTGAACCCACTTTTGCTAAGGTCAGAAAAAATAAACTTGATAGTCAAGTCCAGTGTTCAATTAGTTTTGTTCACCTATCTCTTTCTCTTCTGCTTCTTTTAAAAGACACATCCAGGACACCTGGTGGTGGAGAGAATAAGAATGTCCACCACAGGCTCATATATTCCAGTGCTTAACCGTTAGGGAGTGGTGCTGTTTGAGAAGGATTAGGAGGCCTTGTTGGAGGAAGTAGGTCACTGGGGGTGGGGTTTGATGTTTCAAAAGTCTAACCCAGACCCAGGGCTCCCTCTTCCTGTTGCTTACAGATCTGGATATAGAACTCTCAGTTACTTCTCCAGAACCACGTCTGCCTGCATGCCACCATGCTCCCAGCCATGGTGAGAATGGACTGGATCTCTGAAACTCTAAGCCAGCTCCAATTAAGTGCTTTGTTTTATATGCGTTGTCATGGTCGTGGTGTCTCTTTGCACCAACAGAACACTGATGAAGGCATTCCCCACCCCCTCCCATAGTTTAACATTTTCACCTGGTAACTTCCAGACACTGATGAAGGCATTCCCCACCCCCTCCCATAGTTTAACATTTTCACCTGGTAACTTTCAGAGACAATCTCGGTCTTACTACTCTTTGTGGCTGCTGAAAATGTAGAAATACAGGTCTTTTAAAACAGAATTGGTCACTTTATTGGCTTTCCTGGATCTTTTACTGCCAGTCTTAAAGCTGTAGTAGTTCTATTAATATAGCCTCTGTCCTTTTCTGGCAGTCTCAGTTTCCCTCCTTCATTTCCAACCCTTTGTGTGATATGGTTTTCTGTTTTTTTCTATATTATTGTCTGATGACATTATCAACCTAGTTCTTACCCTGGCCACCTACTTGGGATCTTTCCTTAGCTTTTACTTAAATTCCTTCCATTCTCTTATTTAATTGAATTTTTCATGCATTCCAAGATCCTCAGTAGATGTTTGAAATCGCACACAACACAGAATTGTGTTTTTTCCCTATTCCTACAACCAATGATGTAAAGTTTAATTAATGAACCTGGTGTAATAAGAGATTACCAACAACCACTAATCATAAAGTAGAATAATGAAAACAATATAATTAACAATAACATAAGACAACTGTATGGTCCAGAGAATGAGCTGCGATAAACATATTTTCAGTTTTGAATGAGTGAGTTTATTAAGTATATAGCAAGTCAAAATAAAACAAAATAAAAAAAAACAATACTCATTTGAAGTTTTCAATAGAAAGAGTCCTGGGCAGAGCAGAACTTGGGTGAGGTTTCCAAATAAAACAACAAATAGCAACTGTTAGAGAAAACATTATCAAACTGGAAGTTTACAACACCCAGCAGAAATCAAGCCAGGAAGTTTAGGCACTTAGCTTTCTCTCCAGGGCTAAACTTCAGGCTTCTCTTTCATACTGTAGGCCCTTATATGTCATGGATAAAAATCTGTTGGAAATACTTGACCTAGTTGTTTTTAAAAACACAATCTTTTATTCTTGGACTGTTTTGTCCTCCCTGTCACTGAGTTGCGGGTGGGGAGACTAGACACCCCCAGAGAAGAACACGCTGGAGTCTGAAGTGGCAGAAGAGCAAGCCCACTTCCAGAGCTAGCTTCTCAGTGAGCTCAAACAGTACACGCCACCTTGCAGATGGAGTATACACGACAGTCACTAAGACAGTGTTGGCATAATAGCTGATGCAAGTGCAGTCTCTCTATCAAGACTTCTGATTATGCAGAACCCACCCTTTTTCTTGTGCTGCTGTTGAATTCACAGAAAACCAAGTACCAGTGAGAGGGCAGGCAGTGTGTGCTGGCTTGGTTTTGTCTCTTAGACTATAGTACGGATTCTAATTGGTCTTATCAATAAAAAAAAAAAAAAACCCAGAGTCAGATAGTAGGGAGTGAAAGCTGAAAGATCAGAGAAGTAAAGAAGTCAGTCACTAGAGACCTTTTACCTCTACCAAATCCTCAGACCAAAGTGGGCAAGAACCTGTCTCCACAAATCCTCAGACTGAATGCCAGGAGCTTCTGTCTCCTCCCACCTTACATTCCTCTCTCAGTTCAGCCTTACCTCTTTCTGCCTTTACCTCACTAGTGGTGGGATTAAAGGTGTGAGCCCTGACTGCCTGGGTGTTTCTCTTTTAGACTGGATCAACCTCGCGTAGTCCATGGTGGCCTTGAATTTACAGAGATTCTGTTCCTCCTGAGTGCTGGGATTAAGGGTGTGTGCCACCTCTACTTGGCCTCTGGCTAACTAGTGGCTAGCTCCACACTCTGATCTTCAGGCAAGCTTTATCTGGTAAAGCACCAACAAACTATCACATTACACTGTGAACTGCCTAGCAAGAAAGGAAATAAGAACAAGAGGTTTTGACTTTCATGAAGTTCCCTGTATCTAAAACATCTCTGGCAGAGATCTCAAGGCAGTAGGAGCCATGCTGCCGAGGCTTTTTGGAGAAAGGGAACTGAAAACAAGTGGTTTGGGTGGAGCCTCAAAAGTGTCCTAATTAGTATGCCGCCTGTCAGCGGGGCTTGGGACCCAGCTACACAGCCAAGGCTAGCCAAGTTTCTAGGCGAGAGGAACCAGTCACACTTTCCACTCTCTGTGTCTCAGCACCTGCTCTGCAAGGCCTACCAGTAAGAGTGAAAAGCTTTGTGAGGCGGACGTTTTAAACTATCAGCACACACACTAATCCCTGAATTGAGAGTTTAGGCTGCTGCGGAGAAGGAATCCAGTGAGGGAAGCCTGGTCCGAACTTTTCTCAGAAAAAAAAAAAAAAATCTTAGGACTGAATTTTTGCTAATCAGCAAATGAAGAGGAAATGGGAGTGGTAAATTTCTGGGGTTGGGAAGAAGGATTAGTATTGACTCTCTTCCAGAAAAGAATAAAGCTGCAGGAAGCCTGGCTCTAAACGTTCACTTGACTGAGGAACAGAAGTTATCCTTTATTTCACCACAACTGAGAGCTTAACAAAAGAAAACACATTCGGCTGTAGCAGGAAGTAGAATGCATTGTTCGGAGTGTTGACCCAGACTGAGTCTAAAAGGAGCTCTGATTGTCTGGGTGTGTTGGAGGTCTCTTACTGACATGAAGGTATATTTAGAAGAGGGCTTTTGTTTTCTAACTGAAGGAGAAAGAAACATAGGAATAGCTCTCCAGTTATTCCTAGATAAAAGATAAGAACAATGGCAAGACAGAGTACCTACGAGGTAACATTGGCTTGAAAGCGACAGAGCACCAAACTCTAAGTAACAGATAATATATTATTCCACAATCTCAGATGTTCAAGTGGCATGGCATTTATTATCTTTTAAGTTATGTATGCTTTTACGTCTCTATTTCTTTTAGTTTATGAGGTATTAGAAAAATTGTTTTAGTCCACTTAAAATTGGATCCCACATTTCCCTTTCCATAGTTAAATTCCTAGAATCTAGGAGAGAGATAACTCATAATAACTGAATATAGGCCTGCAGGTGGCTCAGGAAGTTTCTGGGACTTTCAGGGGGTGGAACTTACTTACTGAAGAAATCTTACTGGAGGAAGTGTGTCACTGGGGGCCAGCTGTGAGAGGTCATAGGCTCCTCACTTCTTCCTCTGTTTCCTGTGAGAGCAAGAATTGAAATAGGCCAGCTTCCCGCCTGCCTTGTGAAGTTAGTCATGCCTTCTCTGTGGGCTGCTATGTCTTCCCTGTGGTGATGAAATCCACCCTCCTGGAACTGTAAGTAAAAATTAACCCGCTCCTTCCCTAAGTTGCTTTTGGTCATTACATTTTATTGATATAAATAAATAGAAAAGAAACACTTCACTGATAACCTTTGTAGACTTATTGAAATGTAATAACTATTTCTAAGTATTTATCAGGACATAGTTAATTATGGTGTTCAACTTTTTACTTTTTTGCTTTTCTTCGGCTATTTAAAACTTTAGTTATTGGAGGAAGGTGTTTTGTAATTTCATAATATCATGGTAGGTTTGTCTTTTGTTCATAGAAAACTGTCAAGTTTTGCTTAGAGCTGTTGGCTTTATTCAATGAGGTGTATACATGCTTAGAATTTTTATATTGCCTTGGTGACTTTAACATTTAATCATTGTACAGCAGCTCTGTCCTTAATGACACTATTTGTCTTATACTCGTCTCTGACAAATATTAATATAACTGTTCCAACTGGGGTTTTTGTGCCTAGTGTCTGATTGATACATTCTGTTCACATTCTTTTCAGTTATTCAGTATTGTATTCTCAGTGTGTCTTTTGTAAACACTATAGGACTACAGTGGGCTTTAAGCCAGTTTAATGTTCTTTGTAAAGCTGGGAGTCTAATTTATGTGTATTGTGTCAGTAGAAATATTTGAATTTTTTGTAAGCATCTTATGTCTCTCCATGTGATAGTCCCTGCCCATGTTTGTTTTCTTCTTTATAAAAATATGCTTAAGATTTGCTGGCTGGTGGTGGTGCATGCCTTTAATCCCAGCACTTTGGAGGCAGAGGCAGGCAGATCTCTGTGAATTTGAGGCCAGCCAGGTCAACAAGAGCTAGTTCCAGCACAGGCAATACATGTTTAAGATTATTCTTTATGTAGGAGTGTGTTTATTATGTTAGTCATGTTTCTGTAAGTCCCATGTCATCAATTTTGTGGGGACAAAAGTCCTTTTTCATCAGCCAAGAGTAATGCTTTTGGATGTAGTTTTTGGAGAAATCGTGTAAGGTCAAGTTTATTGCTTCGGTGAAGTGGTCTTGCATACAGTTAGCTAAAGTGAGGAACCCAGTGCTATTTAGTACACAGACAATATTGTGTAACTTCCCCTGACTCCAGAAATCCCCTGACTCATTCTATTTATCGCCATAATTCATACACTGCTTAAACATTACCTTCTCAAGGAGACATCATCTGACGACCTAATTTGAATCACACCACAATTCTCAGCCTAATCCTGACTGCATATTATATACTGTATATATTTATACTTGTGGGCATAATAATGAAGAAATCTTACCAGACTGGTGACTCATTTCCTCAAAGACTCTCAGGATGCCTGACTGGACAGAATGAGCTTACGTGTGAACATCTGCTATTGATTTACTAGTTTATCCCTTCAGTGCCTATCTTTTGCGCTTTTTAGTCAAAGGAGTTTTAGAAGTTTTTACACCACAGGGCTTGACTGCTTAATCACAGACAGCAGAGCAGAGTGAAGCATGGATGCTGCTGGGAAGCAACTGTGTGTTCTCTGTATGTTCTCTGTGTGTTCTCTGTGTGTTCTCTGTATGTTCTCTGTGTGTTCTCTTTGTGTTCTCTCTGTGTGTTCTCTGTATGTTCTCTGTGTGTTCTCTTTGTGTTCTCTCTGTGTGTTCTCTGTGTGTTCTCTCTGTGTGTTCTCTGTATGTTCTCTGTGTGTTCTCTTGGTGTTCTCTCTGTGTGTTCTCTCTGGGGGGGGGTGGGAATGGGGGACTGGAGTGGGGAAGGCAGGCCCATCCTGCTGTAGTGACTCTCAGGGGAGGATATATTGGCACTGGCCTGGTGTTGTATAGTTTGTAAAGCCCTCTCTACAATGTCACTTATTAAATCCTCACAATAGCATCTCCTATTATCTGTATTTAAGTTATGTGGAATAAATCCCATTAAATAAATACAAACTGGGAAGTGAGAGAGCACATTACACTCCTGGCTTGGTATTACATTTTATTACTAGAGTGCTTTTCTAAGTTAAATCTGGACACCCACCTGTTAGCTGTGACTTTTGGAGATTTGTAAGACAGTGTTCAAGAAACAGCAAGCAGTGATGCAATAGGGAACAGCTCACCATGACAACAAGGCCTTAGGCATCTGTGGTCCAGAGTCTTATGGAACTGATGGACGCTTGCTGTAAGACTTTCCTAGGGAGGAGAAAAATTCTCTGTGACATTTCAAAGCCTCTTGCAGCTTCTTGCTCTCCCCAGAGCATGACAAATATAAACTTCGAACTATAATAATAGCATATGTGGAACACACCAGGTGTCAGGGATGTCTCATGGATTGCGTGCTTATGTAACTCAGTCACATCTCCCATGAAGTCTATGCAGGAGGGACTATCAGGCAGTTCTTCTTCAAAGAACTAGAAAACACCTTTGATCTCATTTTGGAGCTAGAAAGGGAAAGACACAGAATTCTAACCCACGTAGTCTCTGTATCAGCAAAGTAGAGACCAATAGAAACATAAACAAGTACATACTTTTAAATTTTTCTAGTAGCTACATTAAAAACAAATAACATCAACCCAATGTGCTTGATTAAAGTATGTATGCTAAGTCTTCAAAAACTCTGACGTGTATTTTGTTCTCAGAGTTCATAAATTCTGATGATAAAATTTTCATCTATATTTAAATTTATATTTATATAAACTTAAAATTCACAAAATTTACAGTTGAAAAAGTAGGCATGTATATTCAAGTAATTTTAATCATACTGATTTTCTAGAAACTGAATTTAGTTTATGTTTTTAATTAAAATTAAATGCAGTATAAAATGTAGTTTCTTCAGTTGCACACTTAAAATGTTTGAGAACCATAAGTAGCTGCTATAGGCAGGGTACTCTGAAATTGAAGCTTGTTTTCTATTTGTTTATTAATTGACTGATTTATTTATTTCTGGTGTGCATGTGTACAATATGTGTCTAAGTTTGTGGTGTGTGTGTGTGTGTGCCAGAAATCAAGGTGAATATTTTTTTTGATTGCTCCCCACCTTTTTCTTTGAGGCAGGGTCTCATCTGAGCCTGGAACTCAATGATTTTGTTAGGATGCCTGGCCAGACAACTCCAGGGATATATCTGCTCATCTCTGCCTTCCTAGTTCTGGAATTGCAATGTTACCTATAACCCATCTTTTGACTTGGGTGCTGGGGAGCCAAACTCATGTTCTTGACTTAAATGCTAGGCAGTTTACTGACTAAGCCACATCCCCAGGCCCTATAATTCAGACTCTGCTTCAGTCGCAGGAAAGAAGCATTCTCGTCTCCACGGCCCTGCCTGGCCCAACTGCCCAATTCAGGAATAGTCTCTTTCCACCCCATAATATCAGCACTGTCTCTTCATATTCTGTTTCACAAGTAGCTACATGACCCTGCACAGATTCTAATGTCTGCTTGGAGAAAAGTAAAAAGCAATGAAAAGGAAACAAAAACAAACTACAGATAAGAACAGTCAAGACGAAAGGTGTAACACGAATAATAAAATCAACCTGAAAACCAGAAAAACAAAGCAGCCAAGTCATTAGAGAAGTTTTACCTCTACCAAGGCTGGGCAATCACAGACTAAACAGTCTTTCTTCTCATTTTATATTCCCTCTAGTGCTGGGTTTAAAGGCGTGTGACTCCCTCATATTGGGATTAAAGGTGTGAGGCACCATCAACTGGATTTGTTTCTACTTTGAGCTTGTGTAGCCCAGGGTGGCCTTGAACTCACAGATCCATCTGACTGTCTCCCAAATTTTGGAATTAAAGGTGTGTGTCACCATTGCCTGACCTCTAGTGGCTTTAGCTTTGCCTCTGGTCTTCAGGCAAGATTTATTGATCAAAATACAAAAATATACCACCATAAAAGAGATCAAGAGAGCTATAAACTAGCAATCCCACGGGAAAACAGTAGCCAGAGCAGATTTTCTACCAGAGCTCTGGGATTAATGAGGTTCCAAGCTAGCTTCTGAAATTATTTTTGAAATCCTCTCACATCCTTTTTGTTGGGATGAGTGATTTGGGGAAAGAGAAATAATTCACAAGAAATTGGAGAGAGGGAAAAAAAACAGTTAAAATTTCTCTTGATGCTTGGATTTACCCTTTGGAAGGCTACTGAAGGAAAAATGAGAATATTGTAGATAAAGTTTTTGTCCTGCCTTATCCCACAGTCATTCAGTCATAAATAAACATTCAAAGGCTTATATTAATTATAAACTGCTTGGCCTATTGCTCAGGCTTATTACTGACTACTTCTTACATCTTAAACTAACCTGTAAATCTCTTTAACCATGTGGCATGATACCTTTTTTTCAGTAAGGCATTCTCACCTCATTTCCTCTGCATCTGGCCTGAGACTGTGTCTCTGCCTTTCCTCTTCCCAGAATTCTCTTAGTCTGGTCACCCTGCCTATACTTCTTGCCTGGCTACTGATCAATTGGCATTTTATTAAACCAATACTAGTGACAAATCTTTACAGTATACAAAAGCATCATCTCACAGCAGAATATAGGCAAAATATTTTTGGACAATGTAAAGAAAAGCAGTCAGTCTTTCCTATCTTGCATTCTGGTCAGAGCTGAGAGCTAATTTAAAAATAGACAAAGATTATTTCGGTCATTTTATTCCTGTATGCATGCCGTGTCTGGAGCTAAAAGTAATGGGCAGCTTCTCTTCCTGTGCTCTATGTCCTACCTTAGTGAGTGGAGGGAGGAGTTGGTTCTCAGCAGACTGATCTGGATCTCAGGATCCGGCCTTTCTGTATGTAATATACTCTGTGCGATGAAGACTCGGTTGGTGGTTACTATGAACACATCCTGATTGACATAGCAGACTGGGGGAAAAGCCGAGGAAACTGTGGAAATCATAGGTCTGTGTAAACTCACCCAACTTCTTTGCATAGGCTGGGCAAAGCAGAGAGGAGATATATCTAATGATAGTAATCTGATTCAGGTGCTGTGCCCTTTGATTAACAAAGGTTTTCACTTTATCTCACTTGAGCTCCTGAAGCAGATGTGA